ACTTGATCCTGCAGTCCCATTACTAGGCATCTACCCAGAAGAAATAAAACCATTTTATTATCATAAGGACATTTGCACTAGACTGTTTATCGAAGCTCAATTTACAATCAACAAAATGTGGAAACAACCTAAATGCCCACCAACCCAGAAATGGATTAACAAGCTGTGTGGTATATTATACCATGGACTACTATTCAGCCATTAAAAATATGGAGACTTTACCTCTTTTGTATTAACCTGGATGAAGGTGGAATGCATTCTTAATAAAGCATCACAAGAGTGGAGAAGTGAGAATCCAATGCTCAATTCTACTATGAAAGCAGTAGATGAGGAGGGTATTACATGTGGGGGATAGGGGAATGAGGGATGGGGAGAGGATGGGAAGGGGGATGGGGGTCACAGGACACAATTACAAGAGGGACTTTATTTAACAAATGCGTCAGTATAACCTAAGTTTTTGCACCCTCAATGACTCCCAAATAATAATCTTAAAAAATCCTAAAATTTAACATTTAAAGCAGAATTAAAATTTTATCCAGTTTTTGGTGTTAATTATTTTGGTCCTTAGTTTTTACCTTTCTTTTCTCTTATGACCATAGAATAGAACACTGTACTGACAATTCTGTTTTTCTCTTGCTTTGCCTATTCCTTAAAGACCATAAATAGTTCTCAAGTTTCTATCAACAAGTTACATTTTATATTCTCATTTACTACCCAAACTTCAGTTTTCCTGTCTGCATATAATTGTCAAGTCTAAATATCAGTACCCAACTTCCAATCTCTCTTCTCTAAGTATTTTCAGGTAGACATCATCAGCTTCTCCAACATTAATTCCAAACAAAACGTCTGTCCTCTCCAAACTCCCTGATATTTCTATTTGTAGCCATTCTCCCAGCCATGCACACTCTGAGGTTTAGTTTTCATTATTTCTTATATCCTCTGAACTTACAGGGGTGTGCAATCTTTTGATTCTCTGCACCACATTAGAAGAAGAAGAATTTTCTTGGACCACATATTAAATACACAAACACTAATGAAATCTGATGAGCAAAAAAAAAAAAAAAAAAAAAGCGTTAGCACCAATGACAACTGCAACAAAAATATAGTCAGGCATTGTGGTGGGCACCTGTAGTCCCAGATACTTG